TAACCAAAAATTGTATTGTGATCATGATTAAAAAAGAATAACCTATGGAGTTTCTTGTTCATTCTTCTCCTAGGAATCTACACTTTGGAACAAGCAAAGCTTCACTAGAGGACTGACCTACAGACTTAAATATTTTGTTTTGACATTCAAAAGTGCCTTCCTGGTCTAATTAAAATAAAAGTCAAAAACTTTGAATTTGACTTTGACTCTACTTACTACTATGGGAGACACTGAGATGGGCATGTTATGTATGTACCTTCTTTGACTGTTCTCATTTCAAGGTGATTGTGTATTTCATTGTTGGTTTTGTACCATAGTACTTCTGCAATTGTTCTTTAAACTTATATATCTCATTTTAATATTGATTTTGTGTCGCGGAGAACCTAACGGGTAACCGGGGCTCCGGCTCGACGTGCAGGAGAAGGAACGGGGTGGTTTTTAGTAAGTAAGAGTCTGACACTCCCTCCCGCCTCACCCAGGCGGGTGCAGTCATTCGATGATTTCCCCCCTTTAAAAAAAAAAAAATATTGATTTTGTAACATTTGATAAAAATATTGCAATGTCCTACTCATTAGCACTTTATCAGTGATGAGGTCATGCCTAGTCTGAACTGATCTGTTGATGAATCATAGTTTAGCTAGCTTTTAGTATGTAAATTTATATGCATAAAAGAATTGGTGATTTCTAATTACAAAGGTAATTCTTGGGGTTAGTGTTGCCAAGTAGTAATGTGGTATTTCCTTATTGGTCAAGTGGCGATGTTGGTTTTAGATTTGGGCAAAATGATAAGGGGTTGTTCTCATGCGTGGGAGTGCGGGAGTAAAACCTACCAACGACAAGTACCAATGTGACTTTTTCTGAGTTCTATGTACTTTCTAAGATTATTCAGACACCACTGACAAACGGTGAAGGAAAACATCATCGCGAGGAAACCTGGGCTTATAATTTCTATTTATAAGTTTGAAATCGCCAGGCATTGAGCAACCGTGGTGATTGATGCTCAAACCTTCTCCGTGTGAGAAGAGGTCTTTGGTTAGCAGAGCCTATAAGAGATAGGCTGTTGATGATAATGAAACGTGTCTAGTAAAAATAGGTTATAAATAATTGCAAATCACACTAAATTAATAAATTATACGAATAAAGTTATGTAATAAGGCCTCGTACACAAAACTGCGATGCGACGTCGCATCGCAAAAATGTGCGAGCACCCTCTACGCATCGCAAGAACTTGCGAATTGATTCGCATCGCGCATCAAGATCTTATCTTCCCAAAATCTTCTTTGTTTCTTTTTCATGTATCTCCTAAGCAGTAACAGAAGCGCACACTTCTTTTTACGATCCATATCACGACCTTGATTTTAATTTAAAATACGTTTAGTGCTCAAAGAGCCATCAAACCACCACAGATGGGGCCCAACAGGGCTGATGCCGATTCGGAGTCGCGGAGAACCTAACGGGTAACCGGGGCTCCGGCTCGACGTGCAGGAGAAGGAACGGGGTGGTTTTTAGTCAGTAAGAGTCTGACACTCCCTCTCGCCTCACTCAGGCGGGAGCAGCCATTCGACGATTTTCTCGTCTTAAAAATAAAAAGGGTCTTCTAGGGTGACCATTCCTTCGGCGTCTGCCTTGTCGCACGAAATCGCATCGCAGCCATTCACATCGTATTTGTTTGCGTTGCGAATTCGCATTGCATCTCAGTTTTGTGTTTGAGCCCTAATACCAACGGTTTTTTATAATCCAACATAAACTACACTGCGCTGTTGCAATATTTCAACAACCGCGTCCATTTTACGATCAATAAAACACAATCTTTCAATACAAAATTTTATTTCATATAATGTTTAATATTTTTTACAAAATATGGCGATTGTTTCTTAATATTATTTATTTATTATTATACTACCCGTATTAGTATGAAGAAATAATAATTAAAGGGAATACTTTGTTTTTTTTTTTGTTTTTATTGTAGGGTGAGAATATTGGACTTGGATTAAATAGATGATAAAAAGGTGGAATCGACGAATGTCTGTTCTAACCTTAATTTACTATTTTTTTTTAAAATACCTAGTGCATTTTAGTAATAAGAAATACCTACACCGTGAAATCTATTTCGTTTTCGTCCTCGTTCGTATTGGACCAATTTGATTCTTACACTATTGAAAAACTACTTTTCAAGGATAGGCTACTTTTTATACTAATATTATTACCAGAGGATCGGGACAGAATTGTGAGAAAGCTCTTATATTCCAAGTATTAAGTATTTTAAATGTGGGTGAGCCGTACTTCGGCACGAATGAGCCGGCTCGACCGGAGTGACACCACGGCCGAGCAGAAAACCGACGTGAAGCAACGCTTGCGTTGTTTTTCGTCATCTGAGTGAGGTTCCCGGACGCCCAAGTAAACCCCCTCCTTCCCCAATAATCTCAATCCCTGAATCCCCAACGATCCTCAAACTCCTAATCCGCAAAAGGCCGGTAACACACTTGTAACGCATCTGGTGTTCTAGGTGTCCATGGGCGACGCCGATTGCTTACCATCAGGTGACCCGTCCGCTCGTTTACCGGCTTATGCCATAAAAAATGTAGTTAAGATAATGGGGTAGACGACTAATTTTTATTTTAATGTCCGTCTGGTAGATTATTTAAAAACATTAGACACGTATTTTTTATTTTCTTTCGGAAACGAATAGTTTCGAAGATATATTGATTTGAAATGTCGCGTGACGTCACTTCTCAGTACATTTTATACTAAGAAATGACGTTTTAGCCCCCACTCCTAAACTTTGATTCGTTTTATCTAAGTATTGTTTTATTATACAACAAAATAAAAAAATACGTGTCTAATATTTTTTTATTACCTAAGTTACGGACTAATTATATTTTTAATTTTCATACCCTGTCATCATCCCCATTCCAATCATAGACACCATTTTTATCGTCATCATTAATTGCCATTATCACACTGTTATTCATCGAAATAATTTGTAATGTTCCTATGTTGAGGCTACATATTTTCACCCTACAATATTATGTTAAATATCTAGAAACTTAAACTATAATAGCTAATAAATAAAAAAATATATATATAGTGTTGTCACATAAAGGACTAACTTTAATAGAGGAAGTGAAAAATAAATAATTTTAAACTTATTTATTAATTTTGTAATTATTTTTCTTGTTATAGTTGTTGATTTTTTTTTTATTTTGAAAATAGAACGTAATTTTTTTTAGTATGTTTTATCTGACAGGTTTCTATAGTTGATAGTCTGTGGCTTTTCATAGCGTATCGTTCATATTAAAAAAATAAACAGTTAATTCCGTTTAAAAATAGAACGTTCGAATTACTCCAAATTATTTGTGAACTTTTAAACTCATCTTAAAATTACTCTCTCTAATAAAGTTTTTATAAAATAAAAATTAAATAATAATAATGAAACAAAAATGGCGTTTATTATATTAATTATTAAATTAAATTATTTTAAAACTGGTTCTTTACGCTTAAACACTATTTTAAGTACTTTTAGTGCCTATATTTTGAGACATCGATTTAAAAAATATTTGTGACTGGATTTACGTATTTTTTTTTGTTTATATACTAGCTGTCGAATGGCACATTGTTCTATTAACGAAACAAGAAACAAGCACCTGTTTTTTTATATGTTTTTATTATGTTTCAATAGTAATTTTTGCTACTGCGACAGAAGAATCCAACAAACCAAATACCATCAAAATCTATCCAGCTATTCCCGAGTTATGCGCGTAATAAACAATCTCGTCCGATTCACAGTCAATTTATTCAATTGATTTTCATATTTGTTAATGAAGGGACATCTCGAGTCGAGAACATCCGTCCGTTTTTAAATTGATACCCACATATTCGTGTACAGTCAACGAATTAGAACTGTGACCCACTAAACTAGTTTTTAGTGGCGCTCTCTATTTTTCTCCTTCTATAGACCAGTGTTTGTTGCTTTTTTACACGAAATTTTCAATACTTTCATTCTAATGTAGGCAATGTAGTTTCCTTATGGCATCGAGCATTTCTTTCTTTATTGAAACAAAGAGTTTCCTTTTTCTTGTGTAGCAGCACTATTTTTATGGATTGTCAGTATGCATGTGAGCACCATGTTAGACTATAAGATTTTTTTTATTTTGTTTTATTTTAGTAAGTTTTGTAATTTGTATAATGCGTCAAGCGTGTCTTTGCATTGTTCTCACATATACGTACGGTATTGGAATATGTATCAAAGACATTGTAGAACATACTTTTTTAAAAATAGTAACGAATGGAGTTTCTTTCTCGTCCTTCTCCATTCGAATCTACATTTTGGAATGAGCACCTAGTTTCACTGACGGCCTGACTGACGGACTAATTATTTATTTTGTATATGTTGACATTTCAAAAGTACCAAATGATGGTTTAATTGAAATGAATGCTTTGACTTTGAAAGCTGCTTAAAATTATGAGATGTAATGTTGCATACCGACACACATAGATTTTAATTTAGCGTACTGATCGCTCGCTCGCATTTCGCGTCCGTGCGCGTAATTTTTGGATACACACACGCCGTCTGCCCCCTCGCTAGATGTGAACGTAATATTTGATAGGTATTACTTATTAGTATAGCGTGTTTTTTTTGTAAATGTCATCCTAGAAACTTTTCTGCAAAGGGCCTGTGTGTGAGATTTATCAAACCAGCTAGTATCCTGAATGAATTATTCCCCTTTTCTAAGACATTAACTTAAATAAACCAGTTTTATTTTTCTGTTTTAAAATATAAGTTATTCTATTCATAACTTAACCTTAAACTAAGGGTAACTTATTTATTAATCACTTCAACTTGTCATCACATAGTTTTATCATTCGTATTTTAGTGCATAAGCCTTCTTTCAAAAATTTTTGGAACCTCTTTCTAGTTTTTTCTTAATAAATATTGCGAGACATACTTAGGACCGATTTTTCAATCATCAGCTGTAGAATAAAATTGACATTTGACAGTTTATGGAAGAATTGTTAAATATTCAAAGTTATTACTAAAATAAAAATTAATCGACCCTGAATTAATTAAAAATAACGATTTCTCTCACAAGTAAACTGAGAATAGCTCTATTAGTTTCGAGTCACAGAGGGACTCTTCCTCATGTATTCATGATGATTTGGTCGCGGCGACGTCGCACACTGCCCTCTGTTACTCGAATCTAGTAGAGCTTTTCATCATTTATTTACGTGAGTAACTCGTCATTTTTAGTTACCTCTTCCTAATGTTTGTCTTATGTGAAATCTAAACAGGAATGTCAATTATTTGTAATTCTTTTCCTGTACCTACAGGGAATTTTGAAGTATTGCTTTTTTTTTTTAAAAAATTAAAGTTCTTGTGTGCATCGACGTATACTAATGGACATGCCTCAGAGATGAGGATTGTGGCACTCGGAAAGAAAGAGAGGAAACGAAGTTTCGGTCTATCTTTATCTCTCTCGAAATAGTACCGTAGTTAAGACGTTATGAGCGAGAAAGAGATAGCGCTAGACCGAAAGCATAGGCCATCTCTCTCACTCTTTTCAAACCAAAAAATGACTGCAGATTATACGCGTACGGCATGTCCATTAGTATATGTCGATGCTTGTGTGTCTAAAAATGTTGTTTGTTTAAAAGAGGTTCATATTATGAAGGTGGTTTCATTGTCAAAATTGCAATAATTTCGATTTAATTTCTCGATGTATTGTATGATGGTAGTTCTCGTGATGACTTCCGTTTCCTCACGCACCATACGATGAGGAAGATGAGTAGGGCTAGCAAGGCTATGGCCAGGAGAACTCCGAGGACGATAGCCGCTATCGCCGCCCCTGTTAGGTGGTCTGAAAGAGAAAGAGATATTTAGTGTCACATCTGTACAAGTCACATAGTTTTGCCGGTCATGCGATAAAGGTGGCGATTGTACTACCGAGCGGGGACTACTTCTACTTAGTCAAAGAATTCTTAATATTTTTTCCCATTATTAATAAATTATTTAGAGTATTTTAAAGTAATACTACTCTCATATACATCTGACGTATTAAAAAGTGCTGCTTATCATTTTTGATTTTCTAATTAAAAACATAGTTAATGAAAAATTCAATTAACATTCAATCGAGTTCATGTACAATAATACATAAATCATCTCATAATTTTCACAAAGTCAAAGCATTAATTTCGATTAATTTAAATTGTAGAATAAGAATTGATTCTATTTCTGCAGCTCGACTCCATAACAAAATGCCGTGCGACATAATGCTGTGTAAATAACTAAAATAGACAAGCCGTGTTTACGTCCGCGTGCTGTCTAATCTAACTGCAAAAGATAGAATAATACTTGAAGAAGATTTGATACTTCAAAATTGAATAGGGTAGATGACTAATGTTTATTTTAATGTCCGTCTGGTAGATTATTTTAAAATATTACACACGTATTTTTTTTTTACAGTAACGAATAGTTCCGACGATGTATTGATTTGAAATGTCCCGTGACGTCACTTCTATGTACATTTTATGCGTAGAAATGACGTTTTAACCACCACTCCTAAACTTTGATTCGTTTCATCTAAGTGTCATTTGATTATATATCAAAATAAAAAAATACGCGACTAATATTTTTTCATTACCTAACCGACGGACTAATTAGATTTTTAATTTTCATGCCCTGACATCATCCGTATTGTCCGTCAGTGAAGCTAGTTCTCTTTGTGTCCCAGACACGTAGCGAGCTGTGTCTAGGTATACCTGGATTTATAGCGGGTTATAAATCGATACTGGTGCACTTTGGACGCATGCGGGTTGACATTTGAAGTGGGGGGAGGTAAAGGTCATTGCAGAACAGGTAGGCGGGTCGTTGTAAGAGGAATTTTGGTATTAATGAAAGGATGTCAGTCTGATTGGATTTGTGTTAATAAATTATGATTATATGTAATTTTATTTAGTACTAGCTTCTGCCGATCCCGATTTCTCCCGTTCCTGTAGGATTTTCAGGATATCTCCTGTCTTAAGAACGTTCTCCTAATAATAACAAATACAATAAATAAAGAATTAGTGAAATCGATCCAGCTATTCACGCGCGATGACGTGACCAATTGAAAAAGGGATTCATTTTTATATACAGGGTTTGGCGTAAATAGTGGTCCACCGTTCAGGATTCGATGAACCAGATAATTAACTATAACAATTAAACATTTTAACCATTTTTACCCAAGGGTTCCCAAAATATTTCCTTTTTGTCTTTTATTTACAAAATTTCTACCTTTTGTTACAAATTTGTTTGTAGTTTCAACAAAAACCATTATTTTTTCATTACACTATTTACGCCACACCCTGTATATAGATTATGGATTTGTTGAGTTTATTTCGCATTTTAAAGTTTCTCTCATCATCACAACTTTTATCCCCTAAGAGGTAGGCAGAGGTGCACATAACAGCACTTAATGCCATTGTACAATGTAACACCCACTGTAATAGAGATTGAGCCTATTGCCATATACCATCGCACACAATTCCAGACTCCGTGCTCCTACTGAGATTTTTTTTTTTAATTCCCAGTAATATTTTGCCGGACCCGAATCGACCAAGACCCCTTGCTTGCCCCTGCAGTTGCACTTGCAACCACTCGGCCAACGAGGCAGTGTGATAAGAAATGAGTATGTTTAATTATACTTACTAGAACTATCGATGATATAGCTATTCGTGTTGCCAAAAGCGTCCACGGCGTTTAACAATACTCGTGGCGCGCAACAAGATGCTCTGTATGTAGCTGTGACCTCTTGACGGGTTCCCGAGATGAAGTCACTCGTGTACATGACTCCTACTGGTGATGATGTTAGCCGGAGAAGACCTGGGGATCATACAAATGGTTATTAACCTTAAATAGTGGAATGATGATAGGGTATGAAAATGAAAAAGCTAATTAGTCCGTAAGTTAGGTAATGAAAAAGTATTAGACACGCATTTTTTATTTTGTCGTATAATAAAACAATACTTAGATATAACGAATAAAAGTTTAGAATTGGGGGCTAAAACGTCATTTCTACGTATAAAATGTACATAGAAGTAACGTCACGCGACATTTCAAATCAATATATCTTCGAAAATATTCGTTACTGTAAGAAAATAAAAATACGTGTCTAATGTTTTTAAATAATCTACCAGACGGATATTAAAATAAAAATTAGGCCAGCAGATCAAATTTCTCCAATCTGGAAATTTTATTTATTGTACTGTTGACTTTATGTCTATACTATAAAGTTGGAAATGTATTAAAGAAATTTGACGGAAAATGATAGGTTGTCTAGCTGATGACCGTATTGTATAAAGTACAATCAGACAAGTCAAAGTCAAAGCATTTATTTCAATTAAACCGTAGTTTGGTACTTTTGAAACGTCAAAAAATACAAAATAAATAATAGTCTGTCAGTCAGTCCGTCAGTGAAATTAGGTGAAGCTAGGTGCTTATTCCAAAATGTAGATTCGAATAGAGAAGAACGAGCGAGAAACTTCATTCGTTACTCTTTTTAAAAAAAGTATGTTCTACAATGTCTCTGATACATATTTTAATACTGTACGCATATGTAAGAACAATGCAAAGACAGGCTTGACGCATACAAGTTACTTGGTGTCCTGGTAGGATATTAAAAATGGATGATTCAGTAATGAGGTTGTAACTTTTAACTGGCTATTGAGATGACCAATGGTTACAAATTAGTCATCGATGTTAGAAAACCAATTAACTCGTAATTTTGAAGGCTTTTTATAATTGGTCCAAGAAAAATGCTTCAAAGATGACGGTGTGGTGTATCTTAAAAATATTTTTCGGTTTTTTAATGAAACCTACTAGAAAATATATCGTTACTTTAAATATGTTTCTGGTGCACTTTGAATCACTGTTCTTTGTCATGTCATTATTTGGCTATTGGCGCCTATGTAACAGTGACATTTCTTTATAATAACTATCGTGAGACATAATAAATTAACTAAAAATAAAAACTGCGTTTAAAACACCGACTTCAAAAAACCAAAAACTAATAACAAACAAACAGTCAAAACTAAAAAGCAAAAAATAACTATTATTACTACTGATAGGTTACCCACCCACTGAAAGGTTAGAAGTCGGTGCCATAAGTTCCATACAAAATTATTCATGAAAACCTTAAACTGTCAAATACCAAGCGGTCACCGGTGACCGCAACCTATTGTTCTATAATTGTGTCTACAAAACCGGTACTCGACGAGTTAATAGGTACCTAATTCACAATTTTGTGAACATTAAGTTTATATCATTATGATATGAGGTTATGGCACCAACTACAAAAAAAACAATCAGCCGAACATAGTACCTCCTCCTTTTTTTGAAGTCGGTAAAAATCGCGGGTTACTCACGTGAATATACTGAGAAAAGCTCTACTAGTTAGTTTAGTGATATTTTTGATACACATTCTCCTAAAACTATAGGATTTTTTTTCAATTCAATGAACTACGTTTGTATAAACCAATTTAAACTAATACCTCTTTTTTAAATCTGTAGTAAGTAGTAAACACTTTTCTGAATACTGTAGTAAAATCTGTTCAGCCAATCGCGGTCAAACATACAGATACAGTACAGGTGCAATCGAGAATCGCCGTCGTTTTTAAAGTCAGTTACAAAGAGGTACAAGTATAGAACTTACCTGACTGACTATCCCTGCTAATAATAGTGGTGGACCAAGCATGTTGAGCGCAGTCGTCACCAGTTCTACCTAAACAGGTGCCCTGGAAGTTATGCCTTATCTCCGGAGCAAAAGTGTCGATAGGTTCTGCTGAATTGGCCACGTAGACGTAGGCGGATAAGGATACTTGCTCGCCTCCTGTTGAACCTGGTGGATGGAGAGAAATTTGGGGTTGGTTAGTGTGATTATTTTGGTGTGGTGTTGGTCAGTTTTCGAATTCGGACAACATCTATAAATGAAAAAATGAAAATGTATTAATTATAGGACAGATTTCTGTCGTTATCAGGCCTGCACCCCAGTTTTAACTTGTCGAAATGTGCTGTGGTTACACTTTCAGCTATCCTGCTCCGTGTTAATTTTTCAAAATTCTTACTTAAATTGACAAATCGGAAATCATCTGGTGTTCCAGGTCTCCATAGACGGCGCTAATCGCTTACCACCAGGTGAGCCGTCTGCTCGTTTGCGTCCTCATCCATAAAAAAAGATATTGTGTTCCGTGACGGGCTCTAGGTTCAGTTCCTTATTCACATTAACCGATTTAGCAGACTAGTTATAGAAGTTCATTCTTCAGTCCAAAGATGTCGCCACTATGCCAAAGTACCAGGTTAAGTAAATTTTAAATTAAAATAGTATTGGACTTACCATACGCGGTAAAAGTGATGGTGTCTCTCAATCCTGGTTGTGCTGATGGTGATATGACGAGGCTTACTATCACGTTGACTGTCTGTCCAGGTGTCACGGTTTGACTGAAAGAAAATAATTCATTAAAGTCAAAGCATTTATCTCAAACAATCCTTCATAAATAGGCACTTTTGAAACTGCCACTGTTGTTATAAAAATTTTCTTTACGACTTACTGCTAATTTCAATCACTGTGCCTTTAGCCAAACGCCACCTAGCGCTTATCTACAGAGAGTAGAAATCAAAATGTATGGGGATGACACTGACAAGTGTCAAAATTTACGTCAATTCCATATAATTTAGTTTTCTATTCTACATGTAGACAAGCGCTAAATGTCATTTGGCTACAGCTGCAGGTCTTACTAAAAAACAGTTGATTTTTGACGGACCACTATATAGAGATAATGTCAAAAATCGACATCAATTGAAAGATTTCAATTATTGAAATTGGCAGTCAAAGACACCTTAACAACATCCTCTAAATGTTTTAAGTTCGGCCATGCTTCGGCACGAATGGGTCGGCTCGGCCGGAGTGATACCGAGGCCGAGCAGAAAACCATAGTGAAAAAACCAGAGTTGTGTTTCGTCGTGTGAGTGAGGTTACCGGAGGCCAAATTACCACTTCCTCTCCAATCTCTGAATCCCCAACAATCCTCAAACTCCTAATCCTCAATGACCGGTAACGCACTTGCAACGCCTCTGGTGTTCCGTGTGTGTTTAGGGAACAGAGAGTAATAGTTCACGAAGATCGGAAAAGGAGGATCCTCCGGCCAGGCGAGGTGATCGTGCCTGACATGTGTCGCCACATGTCCATGGGCGACGCTAATTGCTTACCATCAGGTGATCTGTCTGCTCGTTTACTGGTTTAGTTATCCCATACAAAAAAAATCTCTTCAATAAAGGGCCTCCCGTTGCCTCACTTACACGGCTGCACACAACGGTTCATTTGTTTCACACCAGTTTTCTGTGAGACTGTGGTATTACTTCGGTCGAGCTGACATAGTATTACCGAAGGATGGTTTTCACGTTGAAAATGAATGCCCTTATGAAATAAACTAAACGTTACCTAGTAGGATTGATTCCAGTCAAAAATCTCAGTTCTCCTGTGGCTCCGAAATTGAATCTCACTGACTGTTCTCTGTAGTTTGTGACTTCGAAATGCACCTGAAAAAATTAAAATTAACAATAAACTTTATTTCCTCTTAAATATTGATTTTGAACATGCGTGAATAGAGAGCGGCGCTTCGCGTTCCGCGCGCGCCTCAAAAAACCCATCAGACCACCACGGATGGGGCCCAATAGGGCTGATGCCAATACGGAGCCGCAGGACTTAACGGGTTACCGGGGCTCCCGCACGAAGTGCAAGAGAAGGAACGGAGTGGTTTTTAGTGGGCAAAAGTCTGACACTTCCTCGGCGCCTAACCCAGGCGGGAGATGTCATTCGATGATTTCCACTCTTAAAAAAAAAGAACATGCGTGAATGTGATGGTTAGGAAAATTACCTGTAAACTCTCTCCTGGAGCTCCATATAACCTGCTAGCCAGACCAATTTGAACAGCAGTTAGCACTATGCCTTGCTGATTGACAACCTGGAAAGAAATAGTAACAAATCAGTATTAAACGTCTGCTCATGACGATACCTAAGTACGTGTGTCGCCTGGACAGTCACCGCTACCATCAGTTGACTGGACAATCTCTTTACATGAGCTGCTGTTTACATGTGAACATTAACTCATGACGATACCTAAGTACGTGTGTCGCCTGGACAGTCACCGCTACCATCAGTTGACTGGACAATCTCTTTACATGAGCTGCTGTTTACATGTGAACATTAAATCATGACGATACCTAAGTACGTGTGTCGCCTGGACAGTCACCGCTACCATCAGTTGACTGGACAATCTCTTTACATGAGCTGCTGTTTACATGTGAACATAAGACTGCTATATTCATACCTGTGACATAGCTCTGCTGTAGGGTTGAGCACTTTGGTTCTGATTAAACAGCAGTTGAGCATTGTATGCCCTAGTATCAAATTCGTCCATTTTTTCCAAGTCGTTTGATGCGTCAGAATACACCATAGATGCTGAGCGTCCCATACGAATTTCTGGTTGGTTCAGAGGTCCTGATAACCTCATGAATGGTTCACCTGAAACATGGAAATTAAATGGTTAAAATTGGCTACAAAATAGCATTATTCCACGTCCACGTTTACTTCCACGTCCATATTTTTAGGATTAGCTAGATGTCGAATCTTTCCAACCAACGGAAATGTAGTTACATGAACGTCACACATGAATCCCTTTGTGAATTTTCTGCACCGTTATATTATAACTAGCTGTGCCCGCGACTTCGTTCGCGTGGAATAGTGATAGCCTATATGTTGACCTGACCTGTTAGCAATAATCATACAAAATTATAAGTAAATCAATGCAGTACTTTTTGAGATCATTCCGGATATACATACAGACAGACAAACAGACAAAAATTCTAAAAAACATATTTTTGGGTTCAGTGTCGACTGTAGATCACGCCCCAAGTAGATATTCTTTTAAAAAAATATTTATAAAATGTAGTTTTGACTTTTCTACGATTTTATTATATGTATAGAATATAGATACTAGTTTCATTCCGCGCCTCGTCCGCGTCTCGTGGGATAAAAAGTACCTTATTCCAAAAAAGTGTTATTTCAAACCATACTCTATCCGTGTTTCAAATTTCAACCCGATCTCTTCAGCCGTTTTGAAATGATTAAGGTCACTTGTAATATGAGTAAAATTAATTTCAAGATCGCGAGGCATACTAAACATGATTCAATCTGCAACGTTTTTGAAAAATGGTTTGAACTTACCTCTCAGATCCCTGCCGACGATTTTGGCGTAGACCTTAGCTGCCTTCACTGGTGGTAGTGCAACATCAGCTACCAGCTCCACTATGGGGTCAATCTCTTCATTCTGACCGTCTCCAGTTATAGGTTGGTAGCTGTTGGAAGAAAATATTGTTACTGTACAAATTCATCACCGACATTTTACGCTTTGTGTTGCTACAAGACTTTTTTTTTTGTTAAGGGGGGAAAATCATCGAATGACTGCTCCCGCCTGGGTGAGGCGGGAGGGAGTGTCAGACTCTCACTGACTTAAAACCACCCCGTTCCTTCTCTTGCACGTCGAGCCTGAGCCCCGGTTACCCCTTAGGTTCTCCGCGACTCCGAATCGGCATCGGCCCTATTGGGCCCCATCTGTGGGGGTCTGATGGGTTTTTGAGGAGTAAATATTTGTTTAGCAACAAAGTTGAATCAACGTGTTGCGGAATTGCTGTCAACATGTTGCTAGCAACACAGCGTGTTGCAGTCGATAGTATCATGTTGCCAAGCTCTGGCCCGACAAGCGTAAACATCAGTTTACCGACAATAACACTACCTCCTCGGGCAACGTTTTAACGCAGAATGGCATGTAGACAACCTGTATTGATTTAAACATAGTTGCTAGCATCATTGTCACCACTCACGAACAATGTTGATCAACTGTTCCTAAATAAATGTTTACCATGAATACGAGGCTTTAAGTCCCGGTCGCACTACGAAGGAACTGCGGCAGTTTTATTTTAACTACGTAAGGCCGTCCGCACTTCGGCATGAATCAAGCGGGCGCTAGTAATTGTTCGAAGTCTCTTTTATTCGCTTATAGAAAGGTCGCGTCTTATATTATGCAACGATGAAATGAGACTTACCTGAATGGTAGTTTAGCCAGCTCCGTGCTGTACTCATCCACCAGCTGCGACTCCCTGACGCTGGCTACTGGTCCCGTTACTCGGAACTTGAGAGTTTCTGCAAGGGAATGAAGTCCCAAGTTTATGCATTTGCTCGTCTTTGACACTTTAGTAGGAGATCAGTTTATTTGTCTCGTGGGTAAGCCAGGCTTCAGCACGAATAGGCCGGCTCGACCAGAGTCCATCGACTTGAAACAACGCTTGCCGTGTAAGTTAGGTTGCCGAAAACCTATTCAAAATCCGGCAACGTACTTAGGTGATCCGTTTGATCGTTTGCCCCCATACCCCGACATACCTCTTAACTCGTCGAGTACCGTCATTATAGATACAATTATAGAACAATAGGTTGCGGTCACCGGTGACCGCTTGGTGTTTGACAGTTTAATGTGTAGTTTGAGCTGTTTTATATTTTTTTGTGTCTAGTCCATATTTTTTAATTTACGTTAATTTACAATTTCTCTGCCTCGTTGGCCGAGTGGTCGCAAGTGCGTCTGCGTGGGTTTCGAGTTCGATTCCCGGATAGGGCAAAGTATTACAGGGTTTTTAAAAAATTGTCAGTTGTAGCACGGAGTCTGGAATTGTGTCCGGTATATGGCAATAGGCTCACCCTATTATTTAGGACTCGTAACATAAATAGTGAAAAGTGGGTGTTACATTGTGCAGTGGCATAATGTGCACCTCTGTCTACTCCTTCGGGGATAAAAGGCGTGATGTTATGTTATAATTTCCTGACGTGTCTGACGTCATTCTATGCCAATGGCACCTAATTACATGGCACTAGGAAATGTCCTAGAACCTATACTGATCACAGTTCAGTCTATCAATCATTGCTGATTCTAGTAAAGACATTTGACCTCTTCAGATAACATTCACACGTTTGTCGACACGATCGAGTTAGATAGCGTTTACTATTATAATTTATTTATCTAGGCGTCATTTCTCGCGCTCCGCGCGCGCCTCAATGAGCCATCGGACCACCACGGATGGGGCCCAATAGGGCTGATGCAGATACGAAGCCGCGGAAGGCCTAACGAGTCGCCGGGGTTCCGGCTCGAAGAGCAGAAGTAGGACTGGAGTGGTTTTCAGTCAGTAAGAGTCTGACGCTCCCTCTAGCCTAACCTAAGACGGGAGAAGTCATTGGATGATTTTCCCCGCTCAAAAAAGTAGCTGAAGCTGATATTTTTTCACCTATCTGTTGATTCATGAAACTAGTTCGTTATGTTGATCGTTTCAAAGTCCAATTTTGCATGACGTTACTATAATGTACTTATTACGTATTTATTTACCGTGAATCATTTGTTTTTTCTAATATTATTATTGTAATCATCACACAGCGGCAATTTATCTATGTTAATTCGTCAGAGAAAAGTTCAAACTCCATGCCTTTGTTACGTAAAGATATTGTAAATAATTATGTTCTTGTGAAAAGCACATGCAATGCAAATATGTTGCAATGTTTTTATGGAATAAGCCGGTTAACGAGCAGACGGATCACCTGATGGTAAGCAATCGGCGTCGTCCATAGACACCTGGAACACCAGAGGCGTTATAAGTGCCTTACCGGCCTTTTGGGGATTTTTTTTTTAAGGGGGGAAAATCATCGAATGACTGCTCCCGCCTGGGTGAGGCGGGAGGGAATGTCATATTCTTACTGACTAAAAACCACCCCGTTCCTTCTCCTGCACGTCGAGCCGGAGCCCCGGTTACCCGTTAGGTTCTCCGCGACGCCTTTTGGGGAATAGGAATTTAAGGATCGTTGGAGATTCAGGGATTGATGTGGTTTGGGAAGTGGGGGGGGGGGGCGGTAATTAGGCCTCTGATAACCGCACTTACACGATGAAACACAACGCAAGCGTTGCTTCACGTCGCTTTTTTGCTCGTCTGTAAGAGCTCTGAGAATTGAGGATTTGGGGATTGGGAGCATCTAAAGTCTAAACTAACCCTTAATTGCACTGTTAGGAGTCACATATTTGTTAGATGATTAGGAGTTCCTTTAAAAAAGAGATGACTCCTGGACCATGCTCTCTAAATCGGTTGGAGATCGAGGTATAAAAGGTTCAGGTTTATCAGAGAGCGCTGATGCACGGTCTCTGTCAAATGTGTAGTACCTTAGTCGGGTATACGATACCCACGGGAAAAGTGTGGGAGGTGATAAATCCCTTCTATTCTGCCGTCACCAGACGACTTCATGTTATAGATAAGTTAATATTTTAATCTTACACATGTGTCTAAATCGTCATATCTATTTAAATAGGAAGCTGTGACGTAAGCAGAGTCAGAGGTTATCACCTAGTCTAGTTGTCAATGGATGTGAGGAATACATCTATACTAATATTATAATGATACAGAGTTTGTTTGTTATATTATTATAATAACTATATAATTCATCATCATCAATAGCCTATAAGTGCCCACTGCTGAGCAAAGCCTCTTCTCACACGGAGAAGGTTTGAGCATTAATCATCAATGCGGGTTGGCGATTACTAACTCAGTACTAGCACGGAGTCTGGAATTGTGCCCGGTATATGGCAACAGGCTCACCCATATTACATGGGTCCCATAACATTAATAGTGAAAAGTGGGTGTCACATTGTACAGTGGCAGCTCTGCCGATCCTTTCGGGGATAAAAGGCGTGATGTTATGTTATGTATTATTGTTTATTGGCATCTTAACACATTCGGCGCCGGTTCCGCGCGCGCCTCAAAGAGTCATCAGACCACCACAGATGGGGCCCAACACGGCCGATGCCGATTCGGAGTCGCGGAGAACCTAACGGGTTATCGGGGCTCCGACTCGACGTGCATTAGAAGGAACGGGGTGGTTTTTAGTCAGTAAGAGTCTGACACTCCCTCCCGCCTCACCCAGGCGGGAGCAGTCATTCGATGATGTTTCCCCCTAAAAAAAATGGGTGGTCTGATGGCTCTTTGAGGCACGCGGGACGCGACGCGCCGTACGCTCGGGACTGTTTCTGGTCGGACGGGGATCTACCCATGCTCGCCGTCCGCAGGCTTCGTCCGCGGGCTTACGGTGCCCGGAGATCGTCCCGCGATCCCCGACGCCCGGAGTATCCTTCGCGATGGCACAAGACGGGGTAAAGGTTCAAATTAAACTGACCACAGAAATTAAATTATAATGTGAACTAAAATCTGAATAATGCTGATTATAGAATATCAAGTATATGCTGATAACAGCATTTTATATGACCTACTAAACAATATTATTACTGTTTGGTATATCTGCACTCTAATACAGTGATATGTAATAATAATAAATATATATATATCAATCCGTTTGTTTGTTTGGTGTCAACGCGATAAAAAATTACACGTAGGGCCGGCTCGACGCCCTAGTGCGGGTCATGATGCGGAGCGAGGGGGACTGGGATGCCGTTTCCTCCTTTTCGCTAGCTAAGGCGGCGGGATGCGTGAGGCAGCGTAGCATTGCCTCCTTAAAAAAAAAGGGCTGGCTCGACCGGAGTGATATCGCGGACTCACAAAAAAACCGCCGTGAAACAACGCTTGTTTTGCGCAGCCGTGCGAGTGAGGTTACCGGAGGATCAATCTTTCCTCTCATTTTTCCCCAATCCTCGAATTCCCAAAAGGCTGGGAATGCGTTTGTAAGTCGAATGTGTGCGATGTCGATTGCTTACCATCAGGTGATCCGTCTGCTCTTTTACTGCCCTATTCAACTACATCAAATTCGGTTTAGTTAATCGCTAGGTAATCGCGGACAAACACATCCTGTTCAAATTCACTATTAAAGAGTTATTGCTACAGAGGAAAAAGCAGATACGAAGCCGCGCCGTATCGCTAGTTTAATAACAATTTAATCTATATGTATACATAAAATGAATCCCCTTTTCCGTTTGGTCATGGCATCACGCGTGTATGCCTGGACCGGTTTCTCTAATTCGTTTTTTGTTGTTATTAGGAGAAGGTTTTTAAAACTTAAAAAAAATCTGTAAAGCCTATGGGAACGGGAGAAAACGGCATTGCGCGTACGAAGTCGCGGGCGAAGCTAATACTTATATATTTCCTAATCAAATATTTCTATATCTACGAATGATATCTCATATATTATATTATTTGTGTACATTCAGTTGATAGTGTGTTATTGACGTTTACGGACGCGGTTTCATGTAACTGATTTAATTATATATTATTAACGAAGTGTATGTGCAGTGTTTTATATAAAATTGTGACTTAATATAGTGGTATATATGGTTTATTTTTAAAGTGTTGTTTTATGTTTAATATTCGTTATATTAGTTAAAGTTATTTGATCGTTAAAATGAGTTGTTTATGTTTTAAAACAGTCAAAGTTATTCAATTTAAATGTTAGGAGAAATATGTCATTATAGTGACTTAATATAGTCTATGTCGCTTCTGCGTAAGCTGCTGTTTACATGTGAGCATTAGCTCATAACGATACCTAAGTACGTGCGTCGCCTGGACAGTCACCACTACCATCAGTTGACTGGACAATCTCTTTACATGAGCTGCTGTTTACATGTGAACATTAGCTCATAACGATACCTAAGTACGTGCGTCGCCTGGACAGTCACCGCTACCATCAGTTGACTGGACAATCTCTTTACATGAGCTGCTGTTAACATGTGAACATTAGCTCATAACGATACCTAAGTACGTGTGTCGCCTGGACAGTCACCGCTACCATCAGTTGACTGGACAATCTCTTTACATGAGCTGCTGTTTACGTGTGAACTTGAGCTCATGATGACGTAATTAAAGAAAAAATCTATTGTAGGTAATATTTCATAGTTTTATATATAACTAGAACTCTATATAAAGGTAAGGTTCGCCACAATCAATCCGGTTATTTGAAGGCCAAACGTGTTAAATTATTGATTTTTGTTATTTTTTATGGGCCTTGTTGACTACTTAAGTAGGTCTTCAAAGCAATATTTAAGGTCATTTAGTATGTTTAGGGATAACATATCGTAGTGTAGATGGCATAGAGTTGATTCTCATTTGTTTTTTATGAGATTTTTTTTAAGATATCCACTGTGTGGCTTATATTCGTTGGATATAAGAGCT